CAAAACAAAACAAAACAAAACAAAACAAAACAAAACAAAACAAAACAGAAGAACAGTCTGATATATGCTACAACATAAATGAACCTTGACGATGTTATGCTGCACAAAGTATTAGCAAAATCAATCTTGTTTCAAACAAATATTGTATGATAAGACTTATATGAGGTACCTAGAGTAGTAAAATTCATAGAGGGAGAAAGTAGAATAATGGTTGCCAGGGGCTGCTCGGGGGAACAGTGGAATGGGGAGTTATAGTTTATTGTGTATAGAATTTCCATCTTCTAAGATGAGAAGAGTTTTAGAGATCAGATGCACAACAATGTGAATGTACTTAACACTACTGAACTGTACTCTTAAAAATGATTGTGAGATAAATTCTATGTTATTTATATAACAAAATTTTTTTAAAAAAACATCACAATAGTAAAATAGCAAACAATCCAATCAGAAGATAAGCAAAAGATACAAAGAAACATTTCTTCAAAAACTGAACACACAGCTACTACAGGACCTAGCAACTGTACTCCTATTTATCCCAAGACTTAAGTTCGCATAAAAATCTGTATATTGATGCTTATATCTATTTAATATCCACTATATACTTACAGGTAGGAGTTACAACTACCACCATTTTTATAGATACAAAAAGTGCAGCTCAGAGAAGTTAATAGTTAGTCAGGGTCACATATATACTAGGCAAGTAGTAGCATCATGACTCAATTTTAAATCATAATTCCAATGCTAGGAGTTTGAAGATCCCATTTGGTGGGTGGTCTTACAATACTTTAAAAAAGTCAGAAGATAAAAGGGAAATTTCATCTTCATTCATTAACCATTTAGCAACACTTACTTTGAATATCGAACCATTGGGGCACAGACTTTTACCAGCTGTCCAGAATGAAACATTTCTATGGGATCTTTTTTTCTTTCTTGACATATTGTGGTTTGTATGCAGTCGCTCTTCATTAATACAGATTTGTTTCAAATCTGAAAAAGACAGTAAGCTTGTATAGAGAAAATATGCTTTCACTATGTTAATTCCAATTTAACAATTTCCACTACCAACAACATGTATTTTTCATCAGGCTTGTGAGGTCAGAAATTTTTTTATTAATAGTTTCTTTTCACAGTAGCCAATATGATGCTACAGAATGCTGCCTCTATCTATAAGATAAATATATGTAGAAAACTACACAAGATAGTGGTGAGAAAACCAGATGTAGAAAACAAGATATTTTTCCTAGTTTACCATGTTGTAAGTTTTCATGTTACTTAAAAATTTTTCACATTACTTTGTTGGGATTCTAAACCAAGAAATTTGTTTTGAATTATTTTATATATAATACTCTATATGACTGGCATTTTGCAATATCTTGTTTTATTCAGGAAAGTTAAATGGCATTTATAGAGCAACTCTAACTAGTCAGTGTATCAAAAGATATCCTGATGTTTTTATTCTAATTCTTGAAACCTGTTCTGTGAATCAGAAGATAAACACTTATTTTTAAAAATTTTAATGTGGTATTATCTAATGAAAATTTCAATTATAATCCTATAATTGCATTGTAAATCAATTTTATACCCCAAGAGGTACAGGTACAAGTGATGAAATTATAGAGTTTATAAATGTTTTATATTTGCCATACTTAAAATTCTACCATTTCACAGTGTTGGCTACTTTTCATATTCCAGTTTTTGGCCTTAGTAACTTAGTAAAAAGAAACAGGTATGTCTGAAGGAAAAATGAAGCAGAAAAAAATAAAAAATAAGAATCAGATATGGTTCAACTTTAGAATGGTCTCAAACTTTCCAGTCTTTAACCTTCAGGCAAGGAGTTGAAACTAAAAACAGCTAAGGTACTTAAAAATGTCAGGATCTTGCAAGAAACTGCTGGAAGCACCAATATTTAAGTAACAGAGGAAAAGGGGAGAGCAAAAGAGACTGAAGATGAACTTTGGAGCTGGGAGGAATAAACCTAAAGAGTGATACTCAGAAATCAAGAGAGAGACTATTACAAAGGAAGGAGAGGGTAGGTATCTTAAACATCACAGACAAGTAAGGCAAATACAGAGTGTGCAATGGCAACAAGGTCATTAGTGATTTTAACAAGAATTATTTCATTTTTATCCACTCTTTCAGTCATAGTAAATGACATACAGAGGCCTCTCTCAATATTTATTTGCTGAAAGAGTAAATCAGTAGCTTTCAGGGCTCATACCTGTAAACCCAGCATTTTGGGAGGCCAAGGCAGGAGGCTTGCTTAAGGCCAGGAGATCAAGACCAGCTTGGGCAATATAGTGAGACCCCCATCTCTACAAAAAACATAAAAACTAGCTGGGCATGGCAGCACATGCCTGTGGTCCCAGCTACTCCAGAAGCTTAGGCAGGAGGATCCCTGGAGCCCAGGAGGTTGAGGCTGCAGTGAGCCATGATCCTGCCACTGCACTCCAGTCTGGGTGACAGAGCTAGACCCCATCTCAACAAAACAAAACCATCAGTAGCTTTCAGCCTTAGCTGTACATTACAATAACCTGAGGAGCTTTTAAGACTCAGGATGCCCAAGCCATACCCTAGACCAATTAAATCCAAATCCCTGGGCTCAGGTGCAGGCATCAGTGTTTGGTTTAAAGCTCTTCAGGTGATTTCAATGTGCAGATAAGCTTAGAACTACAGGAATAGGTAAATTCAAAGATTCCATAGCACCTGGTACAATTGTTTGTTTAAATTAGTTCCTAACTTACTTATTGGCTCCTTTTACGATATGGATTGAGCCTTGCATTTGTAAACTCATGTAGTATGCGGACTGGGTAGGGGGGAGTGTCAAAACTGTCGCTGTATCAATTATTATCACTCTTCTAAATCTTCCACTGTGGGGTATAAAAAAGCCAAGGGAGGAAAAACAATCCCTAATTCACAGATAATGAATGTATCACTCCTATTCCCATCATGACTGAAATTTAACATACTAGGGAAAATCCTGAGACAAAGTCAAGAGAGCATAATGCAGTGTAGCATAAGACTTGCTTACCTGCGGTGTTATGAGTATGAAATGCATTTAGATTTATAAAATACTTAGAACAGCGTTAAGCACAGGATAAGTAATACGACCTTTTTGAAACAGAATGTAGAAAACCACGTAGCTCTGGAATTGGACAAAATTGGTTTCCTGGATACATATCTATTGCACAAATGGAAAAGTCATATTACAGCTTCTTTTTGCTTAGAAGCTTAAGACTTGATTGCATAGTTGTGGTTGACTAATCCTGTTAATTTATCAGTATTTATCTTAGAAGAAATCTAAGTCGAAAATGCGGATGTATTAGCAGAGAAGATATAATGGGAACCAATCTGATGCTCTCACAGCGTCAATACTGTTAAGTGAGGTATGGGCAACCCACCAGTTTGTAATTAAGAAAAAGTCTGGCACGTTGCTCAAACTGAGAGGAAGAGGAAGAAAAGGCAAAAGGTCAAAGGTCTCGTGGGAAGTAAGGAGAGTAGAGACAGTGAGTTTTATTTGTCCTTTTATGGTTCAGTCTTCCTTCTTCGTCGACTCTCCCTAATTCTCTTCACTGTTCATCCCCACAAACTTTTCTTCCTAAGCATTTCCTGCGGGCTTTTATTACCCCAGGAGTGCCAATCAAGCGTGGGACAGATAAAGCTATCTAGCAACTAACTCCTGACTCCTGTGAGTGTGGAGGGCAAACGAAGCTCCCTGGTCTGCTCTCCTGCCCTACACCGCGCGGACCCTGTTCTGAGGTTTAATACTTGCTTCACAGATAAGCGCTGCGGCCACGTTCCGGCGCCCACCTTCTCCTTGGCCAGGGCACTAGCTGCTGCGGAAAGCGCCAGCCCGACAGCCTTGGCTCCCTCGGTGCGCCGAGCGCAGAGCACTGGGACCCTGGGAGCCCACTGCTCGAGTACCCACGGGGCTCCTAGCCAGGATTGGCCCAGTCGCAGCCTCAAAGTCAGTTCGCCAGGCCGGCATTAAACCACGGGTTGGCTAGGCGGGCGGCGCCGATATTCTGCGTCACCACCTGGGCGGGGCCGTTCTGCTGCTGACGACATCAACCCGGCACCTGCCAACATGGAAGGTAGCGATGGCAGCGTCGCTGTGGCTGGCCTCGGGGCTCGAGGCTCTGGAGCGGCTGCAGCGACAGTCCGGGAACTTCTGCAGGACGGTAAGGAGACGGGGTCCGACCAGGTGGTGGGGCTGCGAGACTGCTCAGCTCCGCACCTGGGCAGCAAGGTGGACCCAACCCGTTGCTTTGCAGAAAGTTTTCCAGTCTGGACGTAACCACTCCCCTCCGCCCGGCCTCCAGTTGTGGGTACTGTTCTAACCAACCTGTTTCCTCTGGGACTTTCTCCCTGTTTTCCAGTGTCTTGGGGACACCTGGTTTTTGTTGCTTCACATTTTAACTCGACCCCCCCCACCCCCCACCCCATGCCTCCAGCTTCCCTGAAGTTTCGGGAGCCTAAATCCTGTGGCCCGCGTTGGCATCCACCAGGTGCTACAGCAGTTCTTGACGAAGGGGTGTAGCGTTCGAGCTCTTCAAAAGTATCTAGAACAGATGAAAGACGCATCATGAAATAGGGGCCTGTTTTAAAGTAGAACTGGAAATGCCCACTCTTTTAACAAATGATCTACTGTCTACAGGTGACCCCTCTTGCAGGCTTTCCCCGTCCCCGTTCTCTTTATGAGGCAGTTATCCACAATGAGACGGGGGAGGTTTCAGGGAATTGATTCAGATTGGGATTAACAACTTATACAGAATCTAGCAGTCAGATTTATTGCTAGTCTGTTTGGAGAAAAGTTGCCCAAAATAAGAAAAGTTAAATACTTGAAAAGCATATTCAGTTGTCAGTCCAGTTACCATGTCCCGAATCTCTTATCCTTCAGAATAAAGTTCAAATTTATAAGCATAAACCTAAAATCCTTCTCACCTGTTCTTAATTTTTTTCTCCAGTGGCCATCGCATTCTACCTTGTACTGAAATCATTCGTATACTTGTCTTAATCTTTTCTGTATTGTGAACTTTTTTTTATATATCCCACAATGTGAGCAGCAGTATCTTGCATACAGTAGGTGCAGAATGTTTTTTAAATTGAACGTTGCAGGTAGAAGCACATGCACACATTTTAAGACCCAAGTGGATAATAAATGCTGTAAAGTTCTAAATTACTGTTTTTCCCTGACTGTTGAATATTTTATTGTCGTCTCGAACTACATGTCTTCTCATGATAACTTATGTACTTCAGTCAAAACTAATGATGTTGTTTTCTGAACTATTTTGTGTTAGAAACTCTAGGTCAGGGTCTCTGTCTAATCCATCCTTGTATCTTAATTTAAATTCAGTTTAACCAAAAACTTGGTTAAACGTTTTTAACATTGACAAAGGGGTGTGACGTTCAAGTTTAACCAAAAACTGAATTTAAATTAAGATACAAGGCAGAGACCCTAATAAATTTGCAGCTGCTCCTGATATATGTGCAATTCTTGCCCTCAAGTAGTTCACCATCTAGTAGAAGAAATAAGTAGAACTGTAAAGGTAGGTGCTGTAATATAGTGATGTAAGATAGCAGTAGGATTGTGTATAAAGTAGAGCATTAATACAGAGGAGAATGATAACTGGGGGTTGGGAACTGGTTAGGAAATGTCAGAAAAGGCTTTCTAGGTGGAGTTGTTTTAAAGTGTAGCTAGGACTTCCCCAGGTGAACAGTGGAAGGGACAGTACAGGCCAAACAATGTATATATGTTTCAGTAGGATGCATTTCAGGAATTGTAATCAGTTCTCGGAGGGTACATAGTCTTCAGTTCTGCCTTGTGCATTTTTCTTCTTGGTTCTCTGCTATTCTCCACAGTAATTATTTAAATATTCCTTACCCTTTTCAAACCTCTCCCTTCAAGCTCAACAAATGACTTTCTGCTTCCCCGGGGTTAAAAAATGGATCCATCAGATGTGAACTTTCTCCATTTGTTGCCCAACAAACCTATAATTTTAACGTCAACCTATAACCATCCCATGCTCCTTCTTTCCCTTGCCTTTTCAATTACAAGAGAAATGGAGCCTCTGCTCCTTTCTAAGGAGAGTCCCTCATACTTTGCTCTGGATTCTTTCTTCCAGTTTCCTAGGGACTCAGTTACCCTCAATCTATGTCATTGAAATAACTTTGCAAGGTTTCCAGTGACTTTCTTGTGGTTACAACAAATGGACACCTTTTTGGTCCTTACCTTTAACTTGTAATAGCATTTGCTGCTTTTCTTGAAATACTTCCCTCGTGTGGTTTATGGGTGCCGTGTGTTTTAAAAATTCTCTATTCTCTTAAGTGCTCTTTGCCAGTTTCCCGTAGATACTCGTTAGTTCAGTTTGTCCTGAATTAAGTGCTCTCTGTTGCCCTTCCCACCCCTAACTTTCCTGAGGAATTAAGTATTTCCAACAGATACTGTGATTTACCATGTCAGGGATTTGGCCAGTGACAGAGTAACCAGTTGATAGGCTTGGTGAGCACAGGTGTATGGTATGAAAATTGGTGAGGTGTTTCTGGTGTGCCTCGTATGGGAATGGGGAAACTACGTTCTATATTTCATCTCTTTAAGGGCTGTCAGTCCCCAAATGCCACATCCCATGGCCAGTATTCAACTTTCATTGTGTTTGATCTTTGGAAGCTCTACGACCTGCTACTACTACTTTCTTTCTTTAGGCTATCCCTTCTTTTGGCTTTTGCCATTCCTTTTTGTTTCTCTTTATCCCTGAGCACTCTCTAGTCTCTTTGATAGCTTTCATTTTCTCTGTTCACCCCCAACTTTCCTGTCTTTCTCATTTTTCCTTTTTGTGCATTCTAAAACTTTTTTTTCCCTGAATTATCTGGTCTTTTCTGTGGTTTCAGTATGATCCTTACCTGTCTTCTGAAGTATAAAACTGTATTTTTAACTACCTACTGGACATTTCTATCTTAATAATTTTTATGATATACTGTTCCGTAACCTGTATGGACATTCCTATTTTGACAGTAAACAAGCATTGCTAGTTCTATAATATGCTTGAAAACCTACATATGAACAAATAGTACAAGTTCTAGATATGAAAAAATGAATTCTTTTTTTCTATTTTCTCTCATAATCTTTTCCTATGGTATTCTGTTATCTGTGTTTACTATGTTGCTGGATAAATGTGTGTTTCTTCCCTTTATAAATTATGAATTCCTTGGAGGCAGAGGTTTGTTCATGTTCATCTTTGTATATTCAGTGCCTAGTGGTCTAACTTAATGTAAAACTAAATTTCCTATATCAGTTACCTAATCAAGACATTTGGGAATCATCCTTATTTGTTTTAATCACCCATTTTCAACTAAGTCCTACATCCTGTGCAATGTGAATATTTGTCAAATTTGTCAGTTTGACATTCTTAGTGCCACTGTCTTATTCAGGCTTTCATTGTGTCACTTAGGCTGTTACCATCGTACTTTACTGGCCTCTGTGGTTCCATTTCTTGGGTATACTGGTAAATTGGCTTTGTGGGAAAATAGAAAACGCCCTGATTTTGTACTGTGTGCTGATTACCATGGTGTAAATACTCTGTCATGGATTTTAAGATACCTATGTGAAAGGTCAACTGGCTCACAGAATTGCTGAAAATGTAATAGTCGGCGCTCAAAAGGCAACTTGAGCACATTGCTGTGTGACTAATCCCTTTTCCATCTTTTATACTGCTGCCAGGATTATTGTTCTGGAACACAAAGCTGATAGTGCAGTTTCTTGAGTTAAATGAGATATGGTGAAACATTTTGAGTATATTATAAACCACTTTTCAAACGGCCCTCCAACCTTTGGAACCACATCTGTCCTTTACTATTTCTGCCCAGTATACACGTGCTATGATCTAGACACACTGAAATCAGTATTCCCCTTATTTCTCAAAACATGCCATGGCATTTGCTACTGCTAAACCTTCCTTTTGCCTGGAATGGCTCTCTTCATTTGTCTGGCTGACAGGGTCCTTAATTATGAGAAGCACTTGGAAACTAGAAGGAAATGTGGTTCTCAGAATTAAAAGTAGCCAAAGTAGCAGTTTCCTTTTTTCATTCCACTACATTTTGAGAGTAATCAGGAGTAGGAGCTTTTACTTTTTTTGGTTGTTGTTGTTGTTACCAGAATGATACTATCAGCTGATGTATTGATTACTTAATTCATGGAACCTGCCACTGGAGATGAGGTAGTAAACAAAGACCTTTTTCCCCCTCACTGAGCATACATTATAGAGGATATAGACAATTTAAGTTTTCTTATAAGTACTCTATTTTGCTTGTTTCATAATCTCTCTCAGGGCAGTCTTACTTGTATCTACTGTATCATTAGGAGATTTGGTAGGTGGCTACCTTGAGCTTATTACTTCTGGGTATCTATTTTTTTTCTTTTACTTCTTTGTTTCTGGGTATCTATTTTTATCTTTTAATTCTCTTAATTTATCTTTCATCCACAGATATGTGGATTTCTATATTAAGGGATATCTTGTTAACATCTAGCATTACTTCTGTTTCCCATCTATTAGGGGCCTATTTTAAACAGCTTTTCTTTCCATTAACATATTTTACCCATAAATCCTAAATTTCAGTTACACCTATAAATCTGTGCTTCCTATTGTTAAAATTCCAGATTCACTTTGCTATAACAGTATTTATGCATTGATCTAGAGATATCTGAGGCCATAAATATTATATATATAGCCAATTTTCCTGTTGTCTTTTCACTGACAATAATCTTGTTTTCTTTGGTTAGTAGTTATAGCTTGTAGTTATGTTTTTAATCTCTTTCTCAATGTTGTACTTCCTTTTGAGTCATGATAAAAATTAAGCATTAAGCAGTATGGAGGAGTGGTTCAGAGTATGGGATTAAAATATGTTAATTATAATTTTTCTGTTGTTTAATAATTGGTTTAGGATAGGGTATTTATGGACTTTTCCTTATTTTTCCCTTAATCCAGAGTGTTATAGTGACTTTTTAAATGAAGACTTTGATGTAAAGACTTATACTTCACAATCTATTCATCAAGCTGTAATTGCTGAACAACTAGCAAAACTTGCCCAAGGAATCAGTCAGTTGGACAAAGAACTACATTTACAGGTAATTCTGATCTTCAGGGTCCCTATGGATTATTCAGCCTAAAGTCATGATTTAGCATTTTTGTAATCTTATTAAATATAAATGCATATTGACATGAACAAGCATCCTTACCAACCAGTGTGACTTATTTTTCAAAGTAAATATTTGAAGTTTTCTGTAAACCCTTTTTGTTAGTTGAAAAACTAATATACCACTTCACCACAGCCTTTCATTTATACTTCCTGTTCACCAACTTAACTGATGTGCAACGAATATAGTGGGCAAAAAATAGGATGTGTTTGATAAACATAATGGAAAATGGAATTTTGGAATTAATATGAATAAGAAAAATTGGGATGTTATATTGGCAAGTCATACTTTATGAGCACAAAGTGTAGCATTTGCCGAAATTACAGAAAGTTGATAAGTGTTACTGTGAGTAGGATGCACTATGAGAAGTTAGGAGATGGGTCCTAATTTCAGCTATGCTGTTAACTGACTTTAGTATCACTTAGTGTCTTTGAGTCTTGCTTTTTTGTTTGTTTTTTCATCTATCAGATGGGTGGAAATAAGCAAGAGGGAGAGGAGATTATAGTAGATAACTTTGAAGATTCCTTCCTCTCCTAAAATTCTGTAATTTTTATAGGGTGATTTTATGGTATAATTTCTAGTGTTGCCTTTGATTGAGTAGGTATTTAATACATAGTTAAATGAATGAACAATGTATGAAACAGATTGTTTACCTGGAAACATAGATTTGGTATTACCTGAGACATATCCACTTGATCTTTTTTGTGTCTTAGTTTCGTCAAGTGGCTTAGATAGGACTGGGATGACTTCTAAGGTCATTTTAATTTTAAACTTCTGATTATGTATAATTTTATTTCAATCTTTATTGACAGATGTTTAGAAAACACATTTAGTTGTCAAGCTTTCAGTTGGACTGTGGGGATAGCCAAATAAATAGAATACGTTTCTTGGCTCTCCAAGGACCCACAGACCAGTGGCAGACATAGACAGAAATAATGGCAGGCAAATAAGGCCTGTTTTAAATAATTAAGTTGTTTATGGGAGTATGGGAGAATGCACTCAGTTCTGCCTAGAGTTCTGAGGGGATGGCTTTTTGCAAGAGCCGCCTGAAATCCTTTCAGTCCTTTTATGCTTGGTATTTTCCTTATTCCTTGTATGCAGTATCTTCTCTGCAAAAATCAGTAAGAACTTACAATGTATTTACCATTTCTTAGAGGGGAGAAGTTATAGTAGCCTGGGATGTGAGATAGAGGAAGTCTCTAAGTCCCAGTAGTCTATATCAGTGAGGTGACTAAATTGTAAAATATTTTTTGTTAGGGTTTAGCACAGGAACTAGAAATCACTCTAGGTATTTAGAGCAGAAAGACACTTTATACAGGGAGTTTGGATGCTTATAAAATTGTTGGGTGAATAGCTAGTGGACGGAGTTAAAGGAACTGCCACAGATGCAATACAGAGGCCTGGAAGTACCTTTTCTTACCACCCATGCCAGTGCTACAATTCTACTTCTAGATACCTAATGACTAAATGCTGGTGTGATCAATGTGGTTCTCTTAACTGTCTTTAAATTCTCGGGTCTCAGGATCTTTATTACTAGCTGAAACAGTAAACTTTCTCTCTCTCTCCTCTCTCTCTCCTCTCTCTCCTCTCTCTCTCTCCTCTCTCTCCTCCCTCTCCTCCTCTCTCATTACTTTGTCACCCAGGCCGGAGTGCAGTGGTGCGATCTCTGCCCACTGCAGCCTCCGCCTTCCCGGTCAACTGATTCTCCTGCCTCAGCCTCCTGAGTAGCTGGGACTACAGGCATGTGCCACCACGTATGGTTAATTTTTTTGTATTTTTAGTAGAGACAGGGTTTCATCATGTTGGCCAGGCTGGTCTTGAATGCCTGACCTCAAATGATCTACCCGCCTTGGCTTCCTAAAGTGCTGGAATTACAGGCATGAGCTACCTTGCCTTGTCCAGCTTTCTTCTCTTTTGTCTTCCACAACTCTTGGAAAAATCATTTAATTGGTTGCAAGGGAGTCTATGAAACTATAGTTTTAGGCTTTTTAACCTTACCAAAGTATTACAAGTGATAAAGGAGAATAGAGAATTTTTAAAAAAATTAGTCTTATTAAAATGGACATATTGATAACCATGATAGTAGACTGGGGAAAATTCAGACATCTTCTGGCAACCTTACAAAAAAAGACCGAGGTGACCCAAGAGTAATACTTTAGGTAGATATGATAGAAAGAGACTTGACAGAATGACAGTGATATCTGAAACAGGACAAAGTAGAGGATTTTTCGGTTCCAGTGAATTAATCTTTGGTGATGGAAGAACTTCAGTCAAAACACTAGACATGAAACCTTGTATTCATTGGAATAAAAGGCATGAAATAATAAAGATTCCTGCATTATTCTAAAGATTTGCATGATTTTGTGATGTTTCTAGGAATCTCTTGCATGTGCCCTTTAACTTTTAACCTTTTTGGTTTTTTGTTCTGGCCATCTCCAGTGCCCTAATTCTCATAAAAGTATCAAACTTCTATAGGGAAAAGGATTTGCTGTGGGGGTGTGACACTGGGAAACTGGAAGCAGAGAGATGTTCAGGTATAGGTGAACACTGAGTGCTGTATCTTTTCGGATTAGGATGCGGCCTTGGTGGTGCTGAATCAAATTCAACAACAAAGAGAACCTGATGTTTGAAAATAATCTTTAAAGGGAAAACATAATAATGGTATGGCATCAGTGAGCTGTTTTTTACATTTTTTGGCATAACTCCACTTGCACATCTCATTAAGATAGCCAGCGGCTTGTTATGGTCTGAATGTTTGTGTTCCCCTGACGTTCGTTTGTTGAAACTTAATTTCCAATTTGATAGTATGAAGAGTTGGGGGCTCTGGGAGATGATTAATGCCCTTATAAGGGAGGCCCAAGGAAGCTTGTTTGCCCCTTCCACCATGTGGAGATAGATACAAGGTACCATCTATGAGGAATGGGTTCTCACCAGATGCTGAATTTGTTAGTGCCTTGATGTTGGACTTCCCCAACCCCTGGAACTGTGAGCAATAAATTTCTTTGGTTTGTATGTTACCCAGTCTAAGGCATTTTGTGTCTGCAGTCCAAACAGATTAAGGTAGGGCTAAGAAAAGGCTTTATCTCCTCTTGATCTGTGTTGAACTGTAAATGTATGTGTGTTTCTGCTTATAATTCATCTCAAACACACCTTAATAACGTGTTTTTTTTCTTTTGCATTTGTATTTGCCCCATTTCTACATCAAGAGTGACCTTCAATTCTACATTGTGGTTACAAGGAAAGGTACCTAATAGAGCAAAAGCTAATCATTTATTTTTGCTTTTCAGGTTGTTGCAAGACATGAAGATTTACTGGCACAAGCAACTGGGATTGAGTCATTGGAAGGTATATTTCAATTAACTGCTAGAGATTATGTAGAGGTAGACCAGGGATTGGCAAGCTACTTTGGATGGCTAATATTTTAGACTTTGCCAGCCATAAAGTCTCTGCTGCAACTACTAAGCTCTGCCATTGTAGGGTGAAAGTAGCCAGATAATATGAAAACAAATGTGTGTGGCTATGTTACAGTAAAACTTGAGTAAAACTTTGCTGGCCCCTGAGCTAAATGATCTGGGTTCAAATCCTTGTTTTACTGCTTACTAGATGTTTGACTTTAGGCAAATTAGTTAACCCTTCAGTGGCTAAGTTTTCCTATCTGTAAAACAGGAGTATAATATGTACTAACATAGCATTTAAATGAGTTAGCAAGATACTTAGAACAATGCCTGCACATATTTAGTGCACCTGTAAGTGTTAGTTAATTAAAACAAAAATGTCAGCAATACCAGAGTAGGTAGCAGTGGAAGGAGGCATGAATTTTTTTCTTATTTTTGCCTTTCTTGGAGCCTTTTTTTGCAATTCTTTTTAGTGAAAGTATAGTCAAGCTACATATAATTGGATTTTTATTTTTATATATCTGCTTACTTTTGTTGGGCTAAATCTTTTATGAATTTTTAATTCCCTCTTGATTAAATTAAACTACATCTCACAAGTATGAAATGTTACTATTGTGTTTAACAGTATTACTTGTGATTACTATTATTAATCATTGTACATCGAAAGAAACATAAGTGATTTTTCCTTATGTTGATCAAATTCTTGAGAGAGGATATCGTTTTCTGTGATGCAGTATTCTTTAGTGCTTCCCCAGTATTTCTCATGTACTTAAAGATATTAACTTATTCTCAGCATGTGCAATATTTCTAAGATATCCTGATAAAGAACTTAGTATTTCTGGAATTAGTAGTTTGTTATTTGAAATCTGGGATAGATATCTCACTAGGTTCTTGGGAAATTTAAGAAGGTCTAAATACTGGTTGACTTAGTATATTATTGTTATAGTCATTTCAACTTTTATTTTAGATCCAGGGGATGTATATATATGTTTGTACCTGAGAATATTGCATAACGCCAAGATTTGGGGTACAATCTGTCACCCAGGTAGTATGCATAGTACCCAACAGTTAAGTGCCCCCTCCTCCAGTAGTCCCTGATGTCTGTTGTTGTCATCTTCGGGTCTATGAGTACCCAGTGATTAGCTCCCACTTATAAGTGAGACTGTACAGCATTTGATTTTCTCTTCTTGTCTCAATTTGTTTGTGGTAATGACCTTCAGTTCTATCCATGTTGCTGAATAGGACATGATTTCATTTCTTTTTTTGTGGCTGTGTAGTATCCGTGGTATATAGGTACCATTTTTTTTTTAATCTAATTCACTGTTTACAGGTACCTAGGTTGATTCTATGTCTTTGCTATTGTGAATAGTGCTGTGATGAATGTATAAATGCATGTGTCATTTTGGTAGAAAAATTTATTTTCTTTTGAATATATATCTAGTAACAAGATTGCTGGGTCGAATGGTAGTTCTGAGTTATTTGAGAAATCACCAAACTGCTTCCCACGGTGGCTGTACTTTCCCACCAAGAGCATTTAAGCATTCCCTTTTCTTAGCAGCCTCACGCGCATCTGTTATTTTTTTGGCTTTTTAACAATAGTCGTTCTGAATGGTGTGAGATGGTATCTCATTGTGGCTTTGATTTGCATTTCTCTGATGATTGGTGATGCTGAGCATTTTTTTTTTCATGTGTTTGTTGCCTGCATGTATGTCTTCTTTTGAGAAATGTCTCTTCATGTCTTTTGCCCACTTTTTAATGGAGTTGTGTTTTTGCTTGTTGAATTAAGTTTCTGATAAATTCTGGATGTTAGACCTTTGTCAGATGCATAGTTTGCAAATATTTCTTCTCTCTTTTTTTTTTTTTTTTTTTTTTTTTTGGAAAGGGGTTTTGCTTTTTTTACCCAGGCTGGAGTGCAATGGCGCGATCTCGGCTCACCGCAACCTCCGCCTCCTGGGTTCAGGCAATTCTCCTGCCTCAGCCTCCTGAGTAGCTGGGACTACAGGCACACGCCACCATGCCCAGCTGAATTTTTGTATTTTTAGTAGAGACGGGGTTTCACCGTGTTGACCAGGACGGTCTCGATCTCTTGACCTCGTGATCCACCCGCCTTGGCCTCCCAAAGTGCTGGGATTACAGGCGTGAGCCACCGCGCCTGGCCTTCTCTTTATTGTTTATAGTTTATTTGGCTGTGCAGAAACTCATTAGTTTTAATTGTTTTTAAATCTCATAATATTTTTATGGATTTCTGAGAGCAAGTAGTATTTTAATGGCAATTTTAAAAACATGCTACTTTTTTATTTGTAACAATTTATAAGGATGGCATGGTAGTACATTGAGTGTGTATAGGTCTAGATGAATCACCACAACAGAAATATTTCTCATTTTGGTTTTTAAATATGTGTTTGTTTTATAATATGCTTGTTTTCCCAGAATGATCTTCAAAGATGGAAATATTTGAAAGACACTGCTAGACTGAATTGCAGTGATTATCTCTTGTATGAGTGTGTAGCGTACAAAGGCTGGCTATTCCTATGATCATCTCAGAATATTCACTAAATTATTTAAAAATAAAAGATTGAGGTGTAGGCCAGGGTGCAGTGGCTCACGCCTGTAATCCCAGCACTCTGGGAGGCCAAGGTAGGAGGTTCACTTGAGCCCAGAGTTCAAGACCAGCCTGAGCAACATAGTGAGACTCTGCCTCTGTAAAAAATAAAAACTTAGCCTGGCATGGTGGTACATGTTTCTAGTCCCAGCTGCTTGGGAGGCTGATGTAGTAGGATCACTTGAGCCCAAGAGTTTGAGTCTGTGGTCGGCTGTGATCATGTCCCTGCCCTCCAGCCTAGGTGGCAGAGCAAGACCCTAGACCCTGTCTCAAAAAATAACTGAAAAACATGAAGTATGTATTGGTTAGTATTTATTTTAGCATGATGTATCTATTACCAGAATATTATTTTGAGATGCTGAAAAATAAGTGTGGTATATGTATATATTACAAAAATTGATTATTACTCTAACTTCTACTTCATCTGTTTTTTCCCCCTAAATATGTAATTTTTTTTTTTTTTTTTTTTTTTTTTTTTTTTTTTTTACCATGTAAGTAGTTTGGAGATATGTTTATTAAGCCTGTTTTATTTTAAAATGTTCTCTTTTAAAAAAAATCCTTCCAAATATTACTTTGAGAATTTGCTAGTTTTCAGAAAGCTATAGCAATAGAGTTTCTGTTCTCATGGAATTTTTGAGGAATATTTATTAAGCTGCTTTTTGTTAAAAACTGGTAGCCTCATTCATTTATTTGTTCATTCAGGCAATCAAATGTTAATTGAGAACTTGTTAAGTAGTAGACATGTGTGAACGATAGACAAAGTCATTGTCCTTTTGGAACTATGTTCTGGTCCAGGAGGTAGATTAAAAAAAAAAAATACAGATAGAAAATAGGGCTGGGCACAGTGGATCATGCTTGTAATTCATGCCTGTAATCCCAGTTTCTTCCGGATACTGAGTCATGAGAATCACTTGAGCCTGGGAAGGGAAGGTTGTAGTGAGCTGAGATGACACCACTGCACTCCAACCTGGGCAATAGAGTAAGAACTATCTCAGAAAACAGAAAAATTTTATTTGTAAATTCTATAGAGAAAATAAAATGGGTGATGGGGATGGATGAAGGGGAGGGAAGGCCTTTTTGAGAAGGTGAGATTTGAGCCAAGATCTAAGTGATAAGAAGGAGCTATCATGTAAAGATTTGAGGAGAAAACTGTTACTAGATTAGCCTAGGGAACAATAAATGGGAAAGCAGGAATTAACTTGGCATGTTTGAGGGGCAGAAAGTAGCCCAGAATGGCTGATGTTTAGTGAAGGAGGGAGAGAATCATAAATCAAGTTCTTAGGGAGGAATTTCAATTTAATTCTAAATGCAATGGCAAACACATTGGAAGAGTTTAATCAGGTTATTGTATGATGGTATTAATACTCTGAATAGTTTACTCTGATAGCTCTATGGAAAAAGGCAAGGGTAGAATCAGGGACACTACTTTGGAAGCTATTTGATGGTGCCTTGGATTAGAGTTGTGGCAGACGGAGTAAAAAGTAGTAAGAGCAAAACTCTGTCTCAAAAAAAAAGAAAAAAATAAAATAAAGTAGGCAGAGCTGATAGGGTTTGTTGATGGGAGATGAAAGAGCTGATGGAAAAAAGTCACCATGAGTGATTCCAAGGATTTTGGTTTCAAAAATTGGATAGATGATGGTATGAGTAATTGAGATGTCAAAGCCTAGAGAGAAGTGTGATTTTTGATGGGTTACTGGTAGGGCATAACCTATCTTGGGTATCTTAAATTTGATATAACAGTACAGGGGAAGAGAGAGAAAGAGGACAGAGAGACAGGGAAGAAATGAGAACATAGGCAGATCCAAAGAAAATCTTTCTACATGGAAGAGCGGCGTGTGGGTGTGTGTGTGTGTGTGTGTGTGTGTGTGTGTAAAATCAGTATTTTATTGAACAAGTACTATTTAAAACTTTGGGATTGAATGAAATCCCTGAAAGATTGTAGATGGAGAAGAGCACATATCTGAGAATCATGTCTTGGGATACTCTAGCATGTAGAGGTCTGATAGAGGAGAAGTGGGAACAACTAACGAGATAAGAGGAAACCCAGGAAGTGTGATGATTTGGAAGCCTAGACAAAAAATGTTGTAGAAAGGGAGCAGTCAGCTGCTGTGAATTTCTGAGAGCTTGAACAAGGTTAAGACAGAACCAGCAATAGAATTTGGCAACTTGTAGATTTCTGGTAACCTTGATAAGATCTGTTTTGGTGGAGTATTGGTGAAAACCTATTGAAACTGAGTTGTGGAGAGAATATGATGTAAGAAAATAGTTATAAGTAATGGCAGTTTATTCTTGGCAGTTTATGGTGAATACACCACAAAACCAGCAGAAAAGTAGAAATCTTGGGTTCAGAGATGATTCTATTGGACTGAACTGTTTTATTGTATACTTGTATGCTGATGGGAATGCTTATTGGTTCTAATATGCATTTAAAATATGACGTGTCTATACTTTAATTACTAATGGAATACTGTGCTTTGAAAACATCTATGCCAATTGGATATAGAAACTGAATTTTAAAGAATGTCATTCTAAATAATTAAATGTCTGCACTAACAGAAGCCTAAATAAAATTTAAGCTTGATCTTTCTGAAAATATTTTTCCAATTTTATGAAAATTTCCTCATGTTGTAAGCCTAGGGAGTTAAATAATAAGCTGTGGACTATTGTTTTAATATGGGAGTGATGAGGCAAAGAGGGTATCATGGAGGATCACTCATAGTTTTTTGGTATTAAAATATACAAACAGAAAATTTATTGTTTTTTAGCATGTTAAAACATAAAATTCAGTGGCATTAAGTACATTTACAATGTTGTACAACCATCCTCAGTATTTAGGTCCAGAACTTTTCCATTACCCCAAATGGAAACCCCATATCCATTAAGCAGTCAGTTCATAACCAATCATAACCTGTCAGGCTTCTTTTGTGAGGGAAAGATTGGAGCAGGAGACCAGTTACAGGCTTTTACAGCAGTGTGGGTAAAACATATTGGTTGCTTGGATTAGGATAGTGACAGTAAAAATTAAAATTACATATGTATATGTTTTCTTTTAATTTAACTTTTTAAAGTTAAATTAAAAGTTGGGTGGCTTGTAAATTTGTAAAGCTAATGTAAGCTGTTATGTTTTCCTAGGTGTTCTTCAGATGATGCAGACGAGAATTGGGGCTTTACAGGGAGCTGTTGATAGGTACTGTTCTTAATTGTATAAATAAATGGAATGGGAAGATTTTTATCTGTTGATATTTTGAAAATGATTTTCTTCTCACTCCTCTCCTTTTTTCCTTTAGGATAAAAGCAAAAATTGTTGATCCATACAATAAGATAGTTGCCCGTACTGCACAACTAGCAAGACTTCAGGTAGTTTCTTACTTTTATTTCTTTATACTTTATTATTCATTTTGTTTTCGTAAGTGGGCAAAATTTAAGAGTATGAGTTTTGAAGAAGTATGGGAATGCAAACAGAAGGTAAGAGAAGAGGGGAAAAATACTAAAAAGCCTTAAGATGTCTAGCTCAAAAAATAAAAACCTAAAGTAAATTCTTACCACTGTCATTGCAGTATATAATTGTTTACTAACTTATTTATGTCTTCTTCAATTTCCTTCATCAATATTTTATAGCTTTCAGTGTATAGATGCTTCACCTCCCTAGTTAAATTTACTTACAACTTTTTTTTTTTTCTGTAGTTATTGTAAATGGGAAATGGTATTGTTTTCCAGATTATTTCTTTGGATAGTTTGCTGTTAGTGTTTAGAAATGCTGCTGATTTTTGTATGTTGATTTTGTATCCTCTGACTTTATGCATTTATTCCAGCACTCTTGGCAGTGTCTTTAGGGTTCTTTATCTAATTTTCTATATAAAGGATCATGCTGTCTGCAAACAGGGACAATTTTACTTCCTTTTAGGTTTGGATGCCTTTTATTTCTCTCTTGCCTGATGGCTCTGGTCAGGACTTCCAGTGCTATGTTGAACAGTGATGGTGAGAGTGCACATCCTTGTCTTGCTCCTGATATAAGATGACAAGCTTTCAACTTTTTACTGTTGATTATGATGTTAGTTGTGGGCTTGTCATATATGGCCTTTATTGTGTTGAGGTACATTCCTTCTATAGCAGTTTTTTTTGAGTTTTTAACATGATGTGTTGTTGAATTTTATCAAGTACCTTTTCTGCATCTATCCAAGTGGTCATATGGTTTTTGTCTTTCTTTCTGTTAATGTGGTGTATCATTTGATTTGCACATGTTGAAACATCCTTGTTACCACAGATAAATCTCACTTGATCATGGTGAGTGATTCTTCTAATGTGGTATTGAATTCGATTGGCTAGTATTTTGTTGAGAATTTTGTATCTTTGTTGATCAGGATTATTGACTTGGAATTTTCTTTTCAGTGTCGTTGTCTGGCATTGAGAGAAGTGTAACACTGGCCTAATAAAATGAGTTCAGATGTATTTTTCCATCTTTGATTTTCTTAGAGAGAGTTCTAGAAGAATTGGTATTTTCGTTTAAATGTTTGGAAGAATTCAACAGTAAAGCCATCAAGTTCTGGGCTTTCCTTTGTTGGGAGACCTTTTATTACTGATTTAATCTCTGTACTCATTATTGATCTGTTCAGATTTTGTTTCTTTATGGTTCAATTTTTCTAAGTTGTATATGTCTAGAAATGTATGTTTCTTCTAAGTTATCCAATTTGTTGGCATATAATGATTCGTAGTAATTTCTTATAATTCTTTATATTTTTGTAATACCAGTTAAAATGTTTCCTTTTTCATTTCTGGTTTTATTTGAGACATCTTTTTCCTTAGACTAGCTAAAGCTTTATTGAATTTATTTATCTTTTCAAAAAACTAACTCTTATAGCCGGGCATGGTGACATGTCTGTAGTCCCAGATACTTGAGAGGCTGAGGCAGAAGAATTGCTTGAGTCTGGGAGGTGGAAGTTGTAGTGAGCTGAGATCGTGCCACTGAAGTCCAGCCTGGGCAACAGAGTGGGACCTTGTCTCAAAGAAAATACCAAAAACCAAAAAACAAACCAAAAACACACAACTCTTAGTTTTATTAATCTTTATTGTTTTCCTAGTCTATATTTAATTTATTTCTGCCCTGATCTTTATTATTTTCTTCCTTCTACTAACTTCGGGCTTTGTTCTTTTTCTAGTTCTTGAGGTTTAATGTTAAGTTATTTATTTGAAATCTTTTTTGATGTAGACATTTATTGCTATAAACTTTCTTCTTTGAACTGCTTTTGCTGCATCCCATAACTTTTGGTATGTTGTATGTCTTTTCATTTGTCTCAAGATATTTTAAAATTTCTAATTTCTTTTTTGTCCATTGGTTGCTCATGAGCATGGTTTATTTTTTTGAGAATTTTTTGGTGGATTTTTCGAAATTCATCCTGTTATTGATTTCTAGTTTAATACCATTGTGGCTGGAAAAGATATTTGATATGATCTCAGTCTTCTTAAGTTTATTAAATCTTATTTTGTGGTCTAACATATGGTCTATCCTGAAAAAAGTTCCATGTGCATTTGAAAGAGTATGTATTCTGCCGCTATTGGGTGGAATGTTCTATATTTCGGTTTATTTGGTCTAGAGTGTAATTAAAGTCTGTTGTTTCAATATTGATTTGTTTTCTTTCTTTCTTTCTTTCTTTCTTTCTTGAGATGGAATCTCACTCTGTCACCCAGGCTAGAGTGCAGTGGCCTGATCTCTTCTCACTGCAACCCCCACCTCCCAGGTTCAGGGTATTCTCCTGCCTCAGCCTCCTGAGTAGCTGGGATTACAGGCACCTGCCACCATGCCTGACTAATTTTTGTTATTTTAGTAGATGGCGATTTTCCATGTTGTCCAGGCTGGTCTTGAACTCCTGACCTCAGGTGATCTGCTCACCTTGGCATCCCCAAGTGCTGGGATTACAGATGTGAGCCACTGTAGCCGGCTGTTTTCTTTCAGCACTTTGAATAGATCATCCCTGTCTCTCCTGGCTTATAGCATTTATACTGGGAAATCTGTTCATAGCCATCTTGGAATTCCTTTTTATGTGAAATGCTTTTCTCTTGCTGCTTTCAAGATCCTTTCTGTTTTTGATTTTTAACAATTCGATGTAATATATCTTAGTGTAGTCTTCTTTACCATGAACCTGATTGGAGATCTTTGAGCTTCCTATACCTGGATATTTTTTATCTTTCCACAGATTTGGGGAGCTTTTGTTACTATTTTTTACACTTGATCTTAGCCAAAAGGCCGAGAAGTGATTACTATTTTTTAAAATAAAGTTTCTTCTCTCTCTGTTCCTTCTGGGATACTCACAATATATGAGTTGGTTTATTTGATGGTATTACATAATTCTCAAAGGCTTTCTTCACTCTTTTTTTTTTTTTTTTTTTTTGAGACGGAGTTTCGCTCTTATTACCCAGGCTGGAGTGCAATGGCGCGATCTCGGCTCACCGCAACCTCTGCCTCCTGGGTTCAGGCAATTCTCCTGTCTCAGCCTCCTGAGTAGCTAGGATTACAGGCACGCGCCACCGTTCCCAGCTGATTTTTTTGTATTTTTAGTAGAGATGGGGTTTCACTATGTTGACCAGGATGGTCTCGATCTCTTGACCTCGTGATCCACCCGCCTCGGCCTCCCAAAGTGCTGGGATTACAGGCGTGAGCGACTGCGCCCAGCCCCACTCTTTTTCTTTTTTCTTTTTGTTCCTCTGACTGGATCATTTCAAGTAACCCCTTTTCAAGCTCACTGATTCTTTTGTTTGTTGAGTCTATTGTTGAAGCTCTCTGGAATTTTTTTAGTTCAGTCATTGTGTTCTATAGCTCTATAATTCAGTTTGGTTCTTTCTTTTATGGTTTCTGTTTTTTTGTTGAACTTCCTATTTTGTTTATTGTTTTCCTGATTTTGTATACTTGTCTAGTTGTATTTCCTTGTAGTTCATGGAGTTTTAAAAAAATGATTATTTTGAGTTATTTGTCAGGCAACTCATAAACCTCAATTTTTTTTAATGTTGGTTTTTTTTAATGTTGGTTTTTTTAATGTTGGTTTAATGTGATATGTTTTCCTGACAGTGATTCTTGTCGCCTTGTGTTGGTGCCAGCACATTTGAAGAAGTAGGAACTTATTCCACTCTTTTCAGACTGGCTCTGCCTGGGAAAGTTCTATACCAGCTAACTTGACCAGAGATTTGGCTAGCTTTCTGGTGTGGTCTGTGGGCAGGCTTACTGCTGGTGTCTTCAGGCAGGCTGTCGTACCTAGGTCAGCAGGTGCACAGGAGGGTCCATGAGGTTTGGTCTGCAGACTATATTTACTGGGGCAAATGTGGGTCATGAGTTGGCTGGACCAGACTTAGATCCAGGGTCCACAGTGCCACCTGGCCCCCTGTGGAGTTAGACCCATTGACTAGTAGGGCCCTAGTCCACAAGAGCTGATCTGAAGCCTGGTTCCTCAGGAGTTGACCTGGCACTGGGACTGGCCTTGAACTTGAATTTGCAGCAGTCAGTTGCTGGAATGGGCCTGGCACCTGGGACCATGGGGATGGGCCTGGAGCCTGAGTCCACAATGCGTGGCTTGGCACTGGGGTGGGCCTGAAGCCTGTGAGTCAGGCCTGGGTCCTGGGTTTACCAGAGTTAGCCTAGAGTTTGGGTTTGGAAGGGTGGTCCTGGAGCCTTGGTTTGCTCAAGTAAGCCTGGACTCTGGGTCCACTGAAGGCTGGGTTCTGTGGGTGTTTGCTTTGTGCCTAGAGCCATGAGGGTCTACATGGAGGCTGGGTGAGTGAGTGCTGGCCTGGAGGCTGGGTCCACAAGGGCTTGCCTGGAGGCTGGACCACTGAGGCAGGTATGAGTCATTTGGCCTTGGGGGCTGGCCTGGCACTAGGTTCTGCTGGGATGAGCCTAGATCTTGGGTTTGCCAGAGGAGGCTGGGTTCAGCTGGAATGGGTCTGGACCCTGGGTCTGCCAGAGGAGCCTGGACTTTGTGTCTGCTGGAGTGTGGGGCTGCAGGGGCTAACTTGGAATGTAGACTCCTAGGGCAGGCCTAGAGCCTGGGTCTGTGGGTGCTGGTCTGATGTCTGAGGCCACAGGTGCCAACCTGATGCTGGGTCAGGCCTGGTGTTTGGGGCAATGTGGGCTCGTCTGGAGCATGATGCTTCAGGGGCTGGCCTGGTACTGGAAATCTGTGTGCTAATATTAACTAGGGCTACCCTAAAGTCTGGAGCTATGCTGGGTTGCTTGGTGCTGAGTTGGGCCTAGAGCTGCAGGGGCCAACCTGGAGCCTGAGTTGGGATGAGCCTGAAGCTGACAATTGGTCTGGGGCCTTGGGTCACTGGGGGCAGCCTGGTAGTGGACTAGGCCAGGTGATGTAGTCTGG